GTCTCATGTTGATATTCAAAGTGGACTATAGTCAGCATGATAGACTGACTATAGTCCACTAGGTTTCGGCTCGAAAGCGAACAGTTCGGAATGTTCACTCGTTAGTAAACGCGTTACAATAACTTTCCTTGATACCCTAATACTAACGGGTGCTTCAGAAGAAATTACCCTCTTGGCATTTTCATCGTTTCTCCCTTTTCTTCTACCGATTTGAGCTACTTCTTTTTGCAAACGATGTGCCTTGAAATATTCTACAAAATCATATCTAAACTATAATTTCAGAACTTCAATCAAGAAAACTAAGTCAATTAGATGAAAGTGGAAAAAAATGAAACTTGCCAAACTCAAAATTTTTTTCTACTTGAACTTTTTCTTCTCCTAGTATTTCCGTTAAAAAGTGTAGCAAGAATGAGAACTCAGTTTGTGTTTGGTACTTTGAAATGTGCTCTTTCTCGTGGTCTGTAAAAAAAAGTAAAATTTTCTTTTAGAGCTGATGGCGTGCTGGAGAACGAAGTACAAAAAATACGTCAAAATTTGACAACTTCCCCGTTTCCAACAATGTGCTGAAACAAGACACGGAAAACATGGTTGAAGTTTTGGTTTTGCAATTAGGCAGAGAAGAGCAATCGTTTCTGATCAAAACAAACCTGACCGAAAAAGCTTTTACTCTGATGGAGCTATGGGACTTTTACTCAAAGCACTACTATACCCAAAATTTAAAAAATTAATGAAAAAAATGCATGACAACTGACAGAAAAGCTATTATTTCGCGGTGGCTTTTGATGTGAAAAAATCTGAAGCGTAGCTAAAAGATAAAACAAAGTCACGGCTACAAAATGGCTAATTCAGTTCTTCTTACTTTCAAAACGTTAACACAAGAAATCATTTTTGAGCTTGGAAGGTTTTCATTTTTTTCCGCTCTTATCTAATTGACTTAGTTTTCTTGATTGAAGTTCTGAAATTATAGTTTAGACATGATTTTGTAGAGTATTTCAAGGTACATCGTTTGCAAAAAGAAGTAGCTCAAATCGAGCTACTTCTTTTGTTCCTGAACATTGGTAAGAGATTTCCAAGACCCCTGTTTGCCAGGTTCAATTATATGTTTGACCCAGGAACATATTCAATAAAAATATAAAGCGTTATTAAGAATCGGCGCATCGAGCTGCATTGAACCATCGATAACACAAAAAGCATTGTATCGAGAAATATCCATCCCATGAACCGGCAAGACTGATTTTTTGAAAAAACTAATTTTTTCTGAGAACGTATACTTCTGCTTAAAAAGCATAAGAAATGACTAAGCAATGATAATTATTCATGAAAAAATGTTTTATGAGCAAAAGATTCTGATGTGCGCCTGCTATTAGAAGAATGGCCACTGTGCTAGAATAGCGAAAACGGTATCGTTATTAATCTGTAAATGTCTGATTAACAGACCGTTGGTCCAAGACAGATTGTTTTGACTAATTAGTTCAAAATATTATTTTGGAAATATTTTACTTTTTATGATTTCTCATGCCCGTGGTACTACCACTAGTAGTGATTTTTATCTTAATGTTGCTGCTTCCGGGCTGCCGTCGTTTACGTGTATACTTGAGTACCAGAAAATTAGCATTATATCTATATACCAGTAGTGATAGCAAAATAAAAGGAATAAATCACTTGTCGACAGAACCATCAATGGCCACTATTAACATTTAACACTCACTAAACTGTGTTAGAATAGGTTGGAGCGCCCTAAGAGAAACATGAAATTTTGATTTAATCTTTTTTTGCCGTTTCATTTCTACTTTATTTCATTCTTAACTTAAAATTCATGTGATTATTCACTGAATAACCACAGTTTGAACACACATACATTATCTCTGATTATCATGACCCGAAGAGAAAGCCGGAAAGTCATGATAGTCAAGAAGAGTTTATTCAGCTGCTGAATATAAAATATATGACCTTTTAAAGTTAATCAACTTACAATCAACTTACAACTTTAAAGTTAGTCAACTTTACAATTTAAAGCTAAATTAGCATGCAGTTAACTGTGGTTTTTACGGCCAGCTGAGGTACATGAGTTATACTCCACCTACCAATCAGCTTTAGCGAATTAAAGTCTTTTCTCTACAGCTAAGCGTTATTATCCGGGCAGGAAACTGCAAATCTAACTCAAGTTTCAAATTATAATATTTTTACCGTGTATAACATAACCAAATTTCAAAAAAACAATTTTTTCATGCTTTTTTCACTCTCTGTCTGATTATTTTGCTTGAACTTCTTCATATTAAATCTACTTGATACTTTCTGGTTACGCAGAGAACAGGAAAAGCCAAGGCCAGTAAATCGCTAACACCCCACTAACTATCACAACCCGAAGAGAAAGCCGGAAAGACATGGTGATCGTCAAAAAGAGTTTATCTAACCCCGAATATAAAAGAAGAAAGTATGATCTTTTAAACGTTCAGCAGCAATATTGAGGGCAACATCTCAAAAAACTAAAACAGACCGGTTTCTGAAACATACATCAGTATATAGTACAATAAAAAATACATCAATATATAGTACAAGTTATGTATTTCAAACCTTTTTAACTCGAGAATTCGGCAGAATATAGGATGAATTCACAGTGAGCACTGCGTCTTTCGAGCATATAATAAATTACGTCTCGATAAAAAGTATACAATTTTTCCTTTTCTTATTTTGTTCTTCAAGAAAAATAACGTAAACTACACATATATACGAATGAGCACATAAGAAAAATACATAAATATTCGAGTAAAGTGTCGAATTGAAACCCAAAAATACATTCGTCCAACTTGTGACTTTAGTATGAGTGAGTTTTGATGCGAATTGAGGGGGCTTTTGCAGCTGAAAGTCTTGGCTATTTAATGATCTAAAAATTATTGCGAAATTCCATTCGGAGACGGATCTTAGGGAGGTTTCCTACGAAGAGCGTCATTTCGGTTCCAGTCAGACTCCGTGTCTAATTCGAATCGTGCAGCGAAATGAGTGTTGGACTGGAGCTGTCTCGTTCAAATTACACGGGTTCTTAACGATTTAGTAAAATATGCTTTTCAGAAAGCTTTGTGAGATAGATTAAGAATTTCTTATATAGTCATGTTCAGAAGCTTGAGCCCCGCCGGATGGAACTATTTCGAAATCTGTACACCAAAAATTGACCAAGTTATACTGACAAAATTCTTACCCCTATGTTCACACTATAAACGATGACACACAATTTTATTGACTTTCTAGGTATATTACGTCGATTTTTAGTTTATCCATCAGGGATGATCTGGCCAGGTGCATTAGTTCAATGTGCATTTTTCCGCACATTACACGAAAGTAAAGAGGAGGATGAATTAAACAATGTCACTCGTTGGAAAATGAGTCGTATAAGACTTCTTCTATACGTCAGTATGGCATCATTCGTTTATTATTGGCTGCCGGGTTATATATTTCCATTGTTGACGGCATTTTCATTCCTTTGTTTACTTAAACCTAACAACGTTCTATTTTCACAAATAACGGGTATCAGTGGACTTGGTGTTGGTTCGGTGCAGCTAGATTGGAGCTCGATAACAGCCTTTTTAGGTTCACCAATTGTTGTAAATAGTCAATCATTTAGAACATCCGTTTTGAATTACGTTAGACTACTTAAACGGTCTAAGGCTGTCCTAATAGAATCAGCTGAACCCGGTTGGGCACACCTGAATATTCTATTTGGATTTGTTGTACTGGTCTGGATTGTTGTTCCAATTATGTACTACACAAATACATGGGGATCAAAAGCATTTCCACTAGGAACAACCGATTTATATCGAGCGGATGGCTCGCTCTATGACATTACAGTTGTACTGGATCAAAATTCGAGATTAAATGAAACTGCCTACAAGCAATATGGTACGATTCGACTAACAGTGATGTTTGCACTTGCCTATGGACCAACATTTGCTGCTCTAACAGCATGCATTGTTCACACGATACTATTTCATGGTAAAGAGATTATAAGACAGTTCAATATGTCGATAACAGAAGCTATGAATGAAGTGCACGCTAAGTTAATGGCTAAATACGGAGAAGCACCTGAATGGTGGTACACTATTGTGTTTTGTGTCAATGTCTTTGTAGCATGTTTGGTTTGTCATTTTGGAGACTTGATGCCCTGGTATTGGTTATTCATCGCTATAATTGTTGTATTCGTATTACTTTTACCTGTTGGTATCGTGCAAGCCCTATCAAATCAGCAACTTGGTCTTGGCGTTTTTTCAGAATTTATAGGCAGCTACTTAATGGACAGTAATCCAATCGGTAACGGGACATTCAAAACATACACATATATAACCGAAGTGCAAGCATTACGAATGATACAAGCTTTAAAATTGGGACATTATATGAAAGTGCCTCCACGCATAATGTTTGCCGCTCAGATATCATCCGCTGTCATTAGTTCTGTTGTCAGCTACGAATTTGGTCTTTTTTTATTAGATGGTATTAAAGGTATATGTACAGCAAAAAATAAGGAGTGGCAATGCCCAGATCCAAATGTTTTTTATAGTGCTTCAGTGATATGGGGTGCGGTGGGTGCGCAAAAATCATTTGTTAATAACGATGTATCCTATTATCATATATTCTGGTTTTTTCCTCTGGGTGCCATATTGCCTATCATACAGTGGTTGATATTGCAAAAATGGCCCTCAAAATTTTGGTTACATTATGTTCACTTCCCGATTATGTTCGCAAGTTTATCGTATCTAATCCCAGCACCAGCAGGAAACTTTGTCTCTTGGTTATTTTTGGGCTTAGTTTTTAATTATGGTATCAAGAAATATGTGTTTGACTGGTGGGACCGTTATGCATATATCACATCAGCAGCTTTAGACATTGGTGTAGCGTTCTCCAGTCTTCTCATCTTCTTAGCTTTAAGCAATCAAAGCATTTCATTCCCTAATTGGTGGGGCATGGGCGGTCCAAGCTATGATGGATGCCCTTTGTCCAATGCAAATTATTCGGGAATTATCCCGGGATAATTATTATTATATTGATAAATCATTGGTATCTCAACCATAAAGCGTCGAGAAAAATCTGTATTACATGAAGTAATTTCGATTCAATTTTCTCTGTTTCTTGATATCTACAATTTGCTCATTTAAAGCTTGTATATGACAGACAGCATTAGACAGGGCATTTGCGACAATACTCATATATGCACGAGAAACCAATGGATAATTTCTCTAAATTTTAAATACATAAGTGTGACGTTTGTAAATTTCTAACATACAGCCGTCAAACAATATATCTCTTTTTCTTTTGATAGTAAAAGAATGAAGAATAAATATATCATCTGTCGTCATACACATGGCTTCACATGGAGAAAAGTAATCTATTAAACGAAAGAGAACAAAAAACCTCGAGCACGAACAATGCAAATCTAAAACGTATACAATCGTATGCTTAATACTTCAAAATGTATCGTCAAAAACGTTACATATTTAGCTTGCAATAGAACTAGATACTGCTCATACATTGAATTTTAGTGCTGGATTTAAAACGGGACCAGCTCAAATTACTTCAATGGCAGAAGACAAACGTTAGTAGTTGAAACAAAAACGATTCTGTTCAGTTCTGTCTTAAGGGAATGTATTTTTGCTGTAGTTTGCTTACCATTAAGTTCAATTGACGAACGTATTGAGACGGTTTCGGATTTAGCTGATGAACAAGCTGATGAGTTTAAACTCAAAAAAGTCGGTATTATTATGAATGGCGTAACTGGACGCATGGGTACGAATCAGCACTTAATTCGCTCCATTATGGCTATCATCGCTCAAGGTGGCGTAAAGATCGGTGAACAGGAAACTATTATGCCAGTTCCCGTTTTAGTTGGTCGCAACAAAGACAAGTTAGAGAAACTGGCTGCCCAGATCGGTGTTAAACACTGGACCACTAATTTAGATGAAGCACTGATGGACGCAGGAAATATTATTTATTTTGATTCTCAACTTACAAAATTGCGTGTTCCAGCAGTGAAAAAAGCGATTGCGGCAGGCAAACACGTCTATTGTGAAAAGCCAGTTGCGGAAACAGTTGAAGATGCCTATGAACTTTATAAATTAGCACAAGAAGCAGGAGTCAAGCATGGTGTCGTACAAGATAAGCTGTGGCTGCCCGGACTTCAGAAGCTGAAGCTGTTGAAAGACAATAATTTTTTTGGCCGCATTCTTTCGGTGCGTGGTGAGTTCGGCTATTGGGTATTTACTGGAGAAGATGAAACAGTGCCTCAGCGCCCTTCATGGAATTACCGGAAGGAAGACGGCGGGGGTATTATTCTCGATATGTTGTGTCATTGGCGCTATGTGCTGGATAAACTATTTGGTGAAGTCAAAGCCGTCTCGTGCCTCGGCGCAACTCATGTCAAACAGCGTTGGGATGAAAGTGGAAAGCCTTACACATGTACAGCAGATGACTCAGCGTATGCGAGCTTCGAATTAGCTGATGGCATCATTGCACATTTCAATTCATCGTGGTGCGTCCGAGTCAGGCGTGATGACTTGTTAACTCTATGGGTGGATGGCACTCATGGTTCTGCTGTAGCTGGGCTGCGCAGCTGCTATATCCAGCCTTGTGGCGTGACGCCACGTCCAGTCTGGAACCCTGATATTAACAGTCCTCTTGACTTCAGAGAGGGATGGACACTTGTACCTGATAATCAAGTGTATGATAACGCCTTTAAGATCCAATGGGAATTATTCCTGCGCCATGTAGTGAAAGACGAACCATTCCCCTGGGATTTGCGTGCCGGGGCCAAAGGTGTCCAGTTGGCTCAAAAAGGCTTAGAATCATGGCAAAAACGTTGTTGGGTGGATATTCAAGACCTTCCTGTCTAATAGTGCAAACGTATCTTGAATTAGATAGAACCTTTGAATGCTAATCTACGCAATCTTATTTAATTTTTATTTGTTAGACAATATAAACATTTTTCTAAAGGGATACGCAATGTACTTTATTGTAAGGCAATATAAACATTTTTCAATATGAACGAGGAACTTTTGGAAATTTGTAAACTGAGAATCATATTCTGAACAACTTTTGTACCCACACTTTTGCTACAAAATGCTTCGCTCAAGCTAGATTGGGTGTCAAGGCTTGTTTCAAAATACTTTTAGCTCCAAAATTCTACTGGGAATGTAAAAGTTAAATAACGAAAGCTTAAGACTCGGTTAGGAGATCTCTCACATCCTTTTTACTTTCTCCATTGAATGCTGCTGATATGGAATTAATAAATGTGGGTGAAAAATATAAATATAAATCGAATTTAATGGCTTAAAAGTTGCTAAAGCTTAAAAGCTGAGTTGTATGTACGTATACATATAAAATTTGGTTGCATGGAGATCTTGCTGTTTAGTTCATTGACAGCGTTTCAAAAACTCATTAAAAATTAATTTATTCCTCCAACAGAATGGTCAGTTAAGCGCTAGAAGTCCTTCTTTTACTAATTCTTGTTTAATGCACGTAGAACTACAGCAAAAATACATTTCCTTAAGACAGAACTGAACAGAATCGTTTTTGTTTCAACTACTAACGTTTGTCTTCTGCCATTGAAGTAATTTGAGCTGGTCCCGTTTTAAATCCAGCACTAAAATTCAATGTATGAGCAGTATCTAGTTCTATTGCAAGCTAAATATGTAACGTTTTTGACGATACATTTTGAAGTATTAAGCATATGATTGTATACTCGTAATATTTATTTATTCAACGCAAATTATTTGTTTATTACAAAATTTTAAAAATATATTATTCTAACGTTTCGAGTCACCGACTCATCATCAGAGAAAATTTAATCATATACAATGTAGACAGAGAAATGTTGACGGTACACTTACACTGTACGTATAAAGAAAGATAAGAGAAAAGTACGTGTATATAAATTTTATCATATGTGCCAGCCATTATAGGACAAGAACATCAAGACCAGAAACATATGTATGACAACTGTCTAAGTAAAAGTAGTAGAAGAACATGAAAAGAAAGAAGGAGCATTAATTTTTCTTTCTTACTTTAGAAACTACCCTAGTGAAGCTTTTTTTCTCAAGCATATGACTTTCTTGAGTAAGAATCTCATGGCGTGGAGACATTTCTTACTCATGCAAAACGCATTTTTTCCAATGTCATGTGCTTGAATTTCGTATCTCCAGAAACTCATGCACATGAGATTCTTACCTCAAGCGCTTGACTTTCTTGAGCCAAACTTTTCTGTCTTGTCTTTTCGTTCTGCTTTGACCAATGAAAATCGAAATTTTGATTTCGTTCTTTCAATGTGAATATATAGAAATGACTGGACATGTCTGTGTATAGAGCAGACATGTGGACGTCATATACAGGGCTGCGAGAAATGTTTTGCCCGGGGGATATAGCTCCAATGACAAATGATATCAATATTGAATTTTATACCATATGAAAGCTCGTGAAAAGTGGGGTTAACAGCTATAGTTGGTAATGTGATCGATTGTCATTGACTATAGGTTTACTGAAAATTTTAGGATAGGGAAGGAAACACGACTGAGAAAACTTTTTTTCAGAAGATATTATATGAAATTTATTTGACTTTATACTGACAGATTTATTAGTTTAATGTTTAATCTTTTTGAAGTTCATTAGCATAATCAATAATCTGTGTAACCACCGTTCGCTTTTTTCACAGCACGTAATCTTGAAGGGTATGAACATAAAAGGTTTTCAAAAAGTTCTGTGTCTGTTTCCATGTTTTGCAAAAGATCGATGATATGATTTTTCAATGTTTCTTCGCCATACCGATCACTTCCAGTCTCTGACAGCATTCTTTTCTCAACTTCATCTTTGATTGTTGTTCCAATGTGTTCAGCTAAGTTTAGATCAGGTGAATTTTCGGACCAAATATTGTTACCCCAAAACTTGATATTGTTGTCTTTTATCAATTGTTGAGTCATATTTGCTTTCATACACGGTGCTGTATCGTGAACAAATATGACTTCATCCACGTCAATCACGTTTTCTTCATTTTTCAAGAAAGGAAACACGTGTTGAACTAAAACTGTGTCACGAAAATATTGACCGGTCCAGGATTCGCCTTTATCTAGAAATTCACTTCGTTCTATATAGGTGACAATAGTCTATCGGATTATTAACTGTACCTGTTAACCCCATTCTTCACGAGCTTTCATTTGGTATAAAATTTAATATTGATATCATTTGTCATTGGAGCTATGCCCCTCGGGCAAAACATTTCTCCAACCCTGTACATGCAAGAGAATAAAGTACATTGTCTGCACAGCCATTTCTTCTTTTTTTAACGTACTGTGAAGATGAAGACTAGTTTTACTCGCATTTTTTGCATGTTTTAACCTACGTTTTCTTATTGATTTGTCCTCAAAAAGGATAAAAAGTGAAGTAATTTGAAACTTTAACTTCGAGGTAAGTACACAGCAATTTGAGACGAAGAAAGAGAGAGTTAAATTGTCCTGCGTTTTTTCTGTCACAAAACTGAACTATTTTTCTCATTAACAGTTATGAAAAGTCTTTCTTCTCAGACAATGTATCGAATATAAGATCCTTTCCCCGTTGTGTAGGCTCAGTTAAAAATATTGACTGTGCAAACAAAAATGCACAAAAGTAAGACATGCACCAAATGGTTGATGTTTATCAGTACAATTGTGAGTTTCCTCGGTGTAAGATCGCTTTGCCGTTGGCGGCTTCCAGGATGTAGCAAGTATCAGTTTGGTCCTGTTTGATGCACAGAGGA